AGTCATAAATAAACAACAGTATCTATAAAAACTGACGGATTTATTCGTTCTCAATCATTATTGTTGTCGTCTGAATTAGTCATAAATAAACAACAGTATCTATAAAAACTGACGGATTTATTCGTTCTCAATCATTATTGTTGTCATCTGAATTACTCATAAATAAACAACAGTATCTATAAAAACTGACGGATTTATTCGTTCTCAATCATTATTGTTGTCATCTGAATTAGTCATAAATAAAACCTTGTTAATTGTTATAAATAATATATATATACGCCTGACACAACGGGCCAGTTGCTGGAAGTCATAAAGTTTAGCACGATTTCGACTGACCTCTAACGGTAATAGCGAAACTTATCTCGTCTGCTCCGTAGCTATTTTCCACGTGGCAGGTATAATTTCCGAAGTCGTTGTCTTGAATATTTGGAATGTATAAAGAACCATTTACCAAAATACGAACACGGTGTCCCCCTTCGACGACTGGACGTCCCCTAAAAATATAATGTAATAAAGTACACAAGTCTAATATTTACCAAAACACGAACACGGTGTCCCCCTTCTACGACTGGACGTCCCTTAAAAATACAATGTAATAAATTACAAGTCTAATATTTATAAAAAGAAATGAACTTAATAAATTTATTATCCTATATATCGATATAGATGTGTGTGTGGGGGGGGTGGGATAGGTTGGTTTAAATAATTGGTTACTGCAATCACTCTTAGAAAAAAAATATATGTGTGTGTGTTATAAAAATTGTTTGTTTGTAATTAAGCACAAAGCTACACAATGGGCTATCTGTGCTCTGCCCACCACGGGTATCGAAACCCGGTTTCTAGCGTTGTAAGTCAGCAGACTTACCGCCGTGCCACTGGGGAGCGTTATAAAAATGAATAAATAGCTTAAAATAAAATAAAAAAACAGAAATTAGTAGATATATATACATATACATAGTTATACCAAAGATTTACATATATATATATAAATCCTAAATAAATCAACTTTTGTCATCCTAAATCCTAGTAAGTAAAAACAAATCATTAATCTATTTCGAAACTGAAATGGTTCTAAAATCAACACATTTTATAAATAGATAGTTAATAATATATTTATTTATTAGGCTTGCATATAATATCAAAAATAGTTTTTCTAGTTTATTGCATAATTTGTATTGGTAGTTTTCGTCTGATTAGATATCTGCGTATCTTGGATGAAAGAAAAAAAAAGTTTCCAAACTAAACTAATCACAACAATATTGTTACTGAAACTTTAATCACAACAATATTGTTACTGAAACTTTAATCACAACAATATTGTTACTGAAACTTTAATCACAACAATATTGTTACTAAAACTTTAATCACAACAATATTGTTACTGAAACTTTATTCAAAATAAAGGAAAGTGGGGTACAATTTTATTTTCTTCGATAATTCCCCCCCAATAAACGATTGGTTGGTGGGTTGATGGGAGTCTAATTGCGCCCCACCCCCTAATAAAAAAAGATCTGCTTTTTCAAATATTTTAGAGTATTCTGTTAGTGTCTTTTTTTATGCACAATACCGAGTGCCTGAATGAAATTTCTGATTTTAAAATATAAAAAAAAATTATTTCTAAATTCATATGAGATGACACTGATTTGTTTCTTAGTTGTTCAAATCGCTATTGTTAACAATAACTGATTTGTTTCTTAGTTGTTCAAATCGCTATTGTTAACAATAA